GAGGAGGAGGAGAGGAGAGGAACGCGGGGCACCGTCTCTTCAAAACGAGGACCCAACACCACAGGATGGTTGGGAACAAAAGAATTAGCCTGGCGAAGGACCCAACCATATGCAACTGTGAATACCGCAAGTGTGAATATCGTTTTCGGCGGCGCTACCTCTGGGTAGTGGAGACGCATGCGAACACCCCCACTGGGGCCTTCGGTGGAGCTCCCTCTGGGGCTACGAAACGCTGCCCTGGGTGGGGGAACCGCATGCAGGCAGCCCCACTGGGGCCTTCGGTGGAGCTCCCTGTGGGGCCACGAAACGCTGCCCTTGGTGGGGGAACCGCATGCGGGCACCCCCACTGGGGCCTACGGTGGAGCTCCCTCTGGGGCTACGAAACGCTGCCCTGGGTGGGGGACCCGCATGAGGGCAGCCCCACTGGGGCCTTCGGTGGAGCTCCCTCTGGGGCTACGAAACGCTGCCCTGGGTGGGGGAACCGCATGTGGACACCCCCACTGGGGCCTTCGGTGGAGCTCCCTATGGGGCTACGAAACGCTGCCCTGGGTGGGGGAACCGCATGTGGACACCCCCACTGGGGCCTTCGGTGGAGCTCCCTCTGGGGCTACGAAACGCTGCGTGGGGGAACCGCATGTGGACACCCCCACTGGGGCCTTCGGTGGAGCTCCCTATGGGGCTACGAAACGCTGCCCTGGGTGGGGGAAACGCATGTGGACACCCCCTCTGGGGCCTTCGGTGGAGCTCCCTCTGGGGCTACGAAACGCTGCCCTGGGTGGGGGAACCGCATGTGGACACCCCCACTGGGGCCTTCGGGGGAGCTCCCTATGGGGCCACGAAGCGCTGCCCTGGGTGGGAACCGCATGGGACACCCCCACTGGGGCCTTCGGTGGAGTTCCCTCTGGGGTACGGAACAGGGGGTTGGGAACCGCATGTGGACACCCCCACTGGGGCCTTCGGTGGAGCTCCCTATGGGGCTACGAAACGCTGCCCTGGGTTGGGGGAACCGCATGCGACACCCCCACTGGGGCCTTCGGTGGAGCTCCCTATGGGGCACGAAACGCTGCCTGGGTGGGGAACGCATGTGGACACCCCCACTGGGCTCCTTCGGTGGAGCTCCCCATGGGGCTACGAAACGCTGCCCTGGGTGGGGGAACCGCATGCGAACACCCCCACTGGGGCCTTCGGTGGAGCTCCCTATGGGGGTACGAAACGCTGCCCTGGGTGGGGGAACCGCATGCGAACACCCCCACTGGGGCCTTCGGTGGAGCTCCCTATGGGGCCTACGAAACGCTGCCCTGGGTGGGGGAACCGCATGCGGGACACCCCCACTGGGGCCTTCGGTGGAGCTCCCTATGGGGCCACGAAACGCTGCTGGGTGGGGGAACCGCATGCGGACACCCCCACTGGGGCCTTCGGTGGAGCTCCCTATGGGGCCACGAAACGCTGCCCTGGGTGGGGGAACCGTGGACACCCCCACTGGGGCCTTCGGTGGAGCTCCCTCTGGGGCTACGAAACGCTGCCCTGGGTGGGGGAACCGCATGCGGGCACCACCCACTGGGGCCTTCGGTGGAGCTCCCTATGGGGCCACGAAACGCTGCCCTGGGTGGGGGAACCGCATGTGGACACCCCCACTGGGGCCTTCGGTGGAGCTCCCTCTGGGGCTACGAAACGCTGCCCTGGGTGGGGGAACCGCATGTGGACACCCCCACTGGGGCCTTCGGTGGAGCTCCCTCTGGGGCTACGAAACGCTGCCCTGGGTGGGGGAACCGCATGTGGACACCCCCACTGGGGCCTTCGGTGGAGCTCCCTATGGGGCCACGAAACGCTGCCCTGGGTGGGGGAACCGCATGTGGACACCCCCACTGGGGCCTTCGGTGGAGCTCCCTATGGGGCCACGAAACGCTGCCCTGGGTGGGGGAACCGCATGGACACCCCACTGGGGCCTTCGGTGGAGCTCCCTATGGGGCCACGAAACGCTGCCCTGGGTGGGGGAACCGCATGCGGACACCCCCACTGGGGCCTTCGGTGGAGTTCCCTATGGGGCTACGAAACGCGTGAGAGGTGTGCCGAGAGCAGAGGCAAGGAGGGGGAGGAGGGAGGAGGGGGAGGAGGAGGAGGAGAGGAGAGGAACGCGGGGCACCGTCTCTTCAAAACGAGGACCCAACACCACAGGATGGTTGGGAATTACAATTTTGAGATCTTTTTGCTCCTCCTCTCTTCCTCCCTCTCCCTCCTCCCCCATCCTTGCCTTTGCTCTCCGCATGTCTCAGCTCACCCCCTCCTCCCATCATCATCATCATCATCAGCATCATCATCATCATCATCATCATCATCGTCATCGTCATCGTCATCGTCATCGTCATCATCAGCATCATCATCATCATCATTATCATCATCATCATCATCATCATCATCATCATCGTCATCGTCATCATCATCATCTTCATCACCACCACCACCATCACCATCACCATCACCATCACCATCACCATCACCATCACCATCACCATCACCATCACCATCACCATCACCATCACCATCACCATCACCATCATCGTCATCATCGGCATCGCCATGGCTGATTCGTTTCGTGGCCCCATAGGGTGCTCCACCGAAGGCCCCAGTGGGGGTGCCCGCATGCGCCCCCCACGCCCAGCACAGCGTGTCGTGGCCCCACAGGGAGCTCCACCGAAGGCCCCAGGGGGGGGGGGCGCATGCGCCCCCCACGCTCAGGGCAGCGTTTCGTGGCCCCATAGGGAGCTCCACTGAAGGGCCCAGTGGGGGGGGGCCGCGTGCGTCTCCCACGCCCAGCACAGCGTTTTGTGGCCCCACAGGGAGCTCCACCGAATGCCCCAGTGGGGGGAGCCGCATGCGTCCCCCGCGCCCAGCACATCGTTTCGTGGCCCCATAGAGAGCTCCACCGAAGGCCCCAGTGGGGGTGCCCGCATGCGGTTCCCCCACCCAGGGCAGCGTTTCGTGGCCCCATAGGGAGCTCCACCGAAGGCCCCAGTGGGGGTGCCCGCATGCGGTTCCCCCACCCAGGGCAACGTTTCGTGGCCCCATAGGGAGCTCCACCGAAGGCCCCAGTGGGGGTGCCCGCATGCGGTTCCCCCACCCAGGGCAGCGTTTCGTAGCCCCATAGGGAGCTCCACCGAAGGCCTCAGTGGGGGTGCCCGCATGTGGTTCCCCCGCCCAGGGCAGCATTTCGTCGCCCCGCAGGGAGCTCCACCGGAGGCCCCAGTGGGGGTGCCCGCATGCGATTCCCGCGCCCAGGGCAGCGCTTCGTGGCCCCATAGGGAGTTCCACCGAATGCCCCAGTGGGGGTGCCCGCATGCGATTCCCGCGCCCAGGGCAGCGCTTCGTGGCCCCAGAGGGAGCTCCACCGAATGCCCCAGTGGGGGTGTCCGCATGCGGTTCCCCTACCCAGGGCAGCGTTTCGTAGCCCCATAGGGAGCTCCGCCGAAGGCGCCAGTGGGGGTGCCCGCATGCGGTTCCCCCACCCAGGGCAACGTTTCGTGGCCCCATAGGGAGCTCCACCGTAGGCCCCAATGGGGGTGCCCGCATGCGGTTCTCCCACCCAGTGCAGCGTTTCGTGGCCCCACAGGTCCCCTTGGGGCGTCAAAATGTTTTGTTTTGAGCCCGCTAGAAACTTACTAGCAAAATCTGTTAGGTAATGTGTCCTGGGAATGGTGTTCTGGGAAGACGAAGAACACGAAGTGGCTTACAGTTGGCTCCGGGCATTCAAAATGTAGCCTCGGAATGGTGTTCTGGGAGCACGAAGAACACGAAGTGGCCTACAGTTGGCCCCGGGCATTCAAAATGTGGCCTGGGAGTGGTGTTCTGGGAAGACGAAGAACTCGAAGTGGCCTACAGCTGGCTCCGGACATTCAGAATGTGGCCTGGGAATGGTGTTCTGGGAATGGATTCCTAAGGATTCCTAAGAATTCCTAAGGATTCCTAAGGATTCCTGGGGCTGTACTTTTGTCCGGTTCCTTGTCCGGATCCCGCCCAGACCCCCCTGGGGCGTCAAGATGCTCTCTTTTGATCCCACTAGAAACCTATCAGCCAAAGCTGTTAGGTAAAAACACGGGGAATCCTGTTATTTGCGTCTGTTTATTTGTGTGTCCCAGGACCTCTCTTCATTCCAGGCCTCCTGCAAGACCCAGACACCCGACGTCTCGATTTTTTCGAGACGCAGCCCCCGACCTCCCGACCACTTCCCTGGGACCGGTTTCTCATCCCGAGCCGTTTTCCGACGGCCCCGAGGCCCCGCGAGGGCCCCCGATGTCTGGGGAGGAGGAGGAGGAGGACGAGGAGGAGGGGGAGGAGGAGGAGGAGGAGGAGGAGGAGGAGGAGGAGGAGGAGGAGGAGGAGGAGGAGGAGGAGGAGGCGGAGTGGCCCCCTGTGCGGAAAGCCAGCGGCCCACGCGGGCGCCGCAGCCCTGCGGGAGGGTGTGCGGTCTCCGCCCGTCGCGCCGCGCGCGGGGGCCCCGCGCGGGGCCGCGGCCGGCCCCCCTCCAGCAGCGGGGCAGCAGCACGGCCGCGGCGAGAGCTCCTCCTCCTCCTCCTCCTCCTCCTCCTCCTCCTCCGATCCTCCTCCTCCTCCTCCCTCGTGCTCCTCCTCCTCCTCCGCCTCCTCCTCCTCCTCCTCCTCCTCCTCCTCCTGTTGGCGAGACCGCGACACCAGCTGCCATGGTCTTCTTGCAAGGCCGTGACGCCAGCGACCACCGCGACGCCAGCGACCGGGGGGGCTCCTCGCTGCCGCGGCCGGGTCCGCTGCCAAGAGCTGGCCAGAGCGTCTCCGCGGGGAGGCCCCGGGGCCGACGGTCGAGGCGGATCGAGGAGCGGCCCTCCCAGGATGAAGTCGGGCCTGTCCCTCTACAGGGGCAACATCCCAAAATAGTCAAAAGATAGTCTGGGGACTGTTTTTGACCGTTCTTGAGCATTTTTTTTTTTTCGTCCAGAATCGGCCTGTAGGGGGACATGCCCGACTTAACCATGGTATTCGCCTGGATCGTTTTTGCTTTGAGCAGACACAGTGTCAGGGCAGGCACTGCCACCAGCATCATCAACGTCGCGATCGTAGCCGCCATCGTCGGCGTCCGTGGCGATGTTGGCTCAGGCGGTACTTGCCGAATCTACCAGGCTCTGCGCGAACCGCGAGATCCAGACTAGATTTAGGTTCAGACCAGACCCATCCTCACTTGTGAGAGACAGGGTGTGTTGCCGACCATGGCCGAACATATCAAAGGCATCATCGCTGTCGCTTTTCTTGTGGCCTCGGTGCCCGTCCTTCTGTTGCCAGGGAAGTTCACGATCACGCTCACCACTGGGCAAGGGACGCTCACGAGCCAGGAGGGGGACGAGCTGGCCAAGCAGCTGCTCGATTTGAGCCAGCAGGTGTCTGCACTCAGGAAGGAGCACGCCACCGAGGGGGCGGAGGGTGCGAGCCGCAGGCTCCGCCTCGACAACGAGACCCGCGGGCAGGAGCACGATGCCGACCCCAGCTTGGAAACCCAGAGGGCTCCACTTCGTCGCTTGAGCGGTGACCCTGGCTGGACGCTCCTCCTGAGCACCAACCTGGCCAGCACCTCGATTGGGGACTTCGCCAGTGGCACCCAGGTGGGCTCCCTGGCGAACTCCGCCACCGCGGACTACCGCATCGGGAAGTCTGGCGCGCAGCTCCAGAGCGAGGGCCTTACTGGTATTCGCGTGACTACCGCGTCCGGACACCATTTCCAGTACGAGGGGACTCTGTATCCCTCGGGCTTCGACAACACGTGCACGAGCTGCAACTGCCCAGGCAACACCATCGGGGGTGGCTTCTGGTGGCACGGCGGAAAGGGCGGCTGCTACGGCTCGACGCACTTCGGGCTCAAGAGGGAAGCCGACGTACACAGCGTCTGCAACGACGGCAACGCTGATGACTCCTCCTGGGGCCACTTTCACCGCTCGGGCGTGGACACGGGCGTCTACTTTTTCGGCGACGTCTGCATCAACGAGAACGAGTGGCAGGAGCGGTTCTTCTTCTGGGGGCGCCAGCCGAGCCAGGCCTCGGGCGCAACCGCCGGCGCCACCCAGTCCACGTCGACACTGAAGCGTCGGGCGGTGTACACGCGGTGGGGCTCGAAGTCGTGTCCACTGGGGTCTGTGTTGCTGTACTCGGGCTTCATGTCCACCTCCCATTACACGCATTCTGGCAGCGGGTACAATATGCTATGCATGCACCCCAGCCCCCAGTTGCCTTCCGGCTACGACGCAGCTAACAACGAAGGCGCCCTCCTGTACGGCGTGGAGTATGAGAACACTGGTGCTATCGACAGGCACCATGACCACGACGCTGCTTGCGCCGTCTGCCAGTGGCAGAATGGTGCAACGGTTTTCGTCGAATGGGGTAACGCTGAGTCGCGCCACAATCCGTCCACGCCGAAGACGTGTTCGAACCCGGCGCACGAGATGATTTACACTGGTCTCATCATGAGCGAACATTACACCCATCGGAAGAGCGAGCATATTTGCGTGGACCTCGACCGTGAATATGTCGGCGAAGCAGATCAGTCGGATGACAACTTCAACGGAGGTCTTCTGTACACGACGGAAATGGAGCAGGGTGCAGCCGACGAATATGCGTACCCACATGATCGCGAGGTGGGCTGTACAGTGTGCGGCATTCCTGCCAAAAGCGTAAACGCCGACGGAGAGGTGACCATCATGCCAGAGTCGGAGACAGCCGTATTCACTGTGTGGGGCAAGAGACAATGTCCAGGCGAAGGGGTATCATCAGAGCAATTGTACACGGGTTTCGTCGCAGGGTCCTATTACGATCACGGTGGCTCGGGTGCAAACCAGATCTGCATGACCACGAGCAATCCGAATGCCCCGAGCGGATACAGCGACGGGAACCAAAACGGAGCTCTCCTCTATGGGGCGGAGTACCAGAATACAGGGGCCATCGACGCTAATCATAATGGAGACGCGGCCTGCGTGGTGTGCCGTTACTTAACACCGCACAAGGACGTTTACGTGCAGTGGGGGCGCAGCAGTTCTTGCAGCAACTCACACGCCGCTGTCTACAATGGTTATTCCATGGGCGAGAAATTCACCCATCACAGGAGCACGCGCGTGTGCGTTCACACTGCCCGTGAGACTCATGCGCGGTCGGACTGGTCGGATCATAATGGGGCTCTCCTGTACACCACGGAGCTGGAGATGTCCGTCTCAGGGGTGGCCGCAAATGCTGAGGTGGGTTGCTCATCGTGTGCTGGAAGTCGGGCGACGAGAGCTACGCACGTACACCGATCCTGGCCAGACCCATCCGTGGCCCAGGATCGGTGTCTGAACCTCCCTGGCCAAGCCAGGAGGGCGTACGCACCGATCCTGGGCTCAGGATGAGCTTGGCCAGGATCGGTTTATCTGCACAGTTCTTGCCCGTCGAGGAGCTGGCGGCAAGTCGGTTTACACCAGGTGGGGCTCTAGGTCCTGCCCCGTCGGCAGTTCTTTGCTGTACGAGGGGAACATGATGGCCGAGCATTACACCCACCGCGGGGGAGGGGCGAACACCATCTGCATGCACCCGCAGATGCAGAATCCAGCCGGCCTTAGAAGATGAACAAACACACTTACCCAAGGACGTGCCTAACCCATCCGGCACGAATGTCTTCCTCAGTGGGGGCCCCCGAAGCAAATGAGCAGTTCAATAGGCGTGCATTCCTGTCGCAAGCTATGTTGCAAGCTGCTGCATTGAACGCCGAATGAGATCAGGCAGTGGCGGCATTCCAATGAATGGCAAGCACTTGGACGCTCTGTGGATATAGATCGCGAGCAGGAGGAAACTGATGATAATGATGATGAAACATAAAGCGAAAATCAGAAGGAGGAGAAGAAGCGATGGAGGAAACGAGTGAGCAGGAGGCAGAGGAAGAGGACGACGTGCAGGACGGGAAGGTGTCAGAAGTCCGTGACACGAAAAGAGACCACACCCACACAGGAACACTCAGCACTCATATGTGAATGACACAAAAACGAAGGAGGGAGGACGAGGGAGACGAGGGGAGGAGGACGATGGAAAAGGGAATGAGGCGAGGCCGTATGCGGGGGAGGCAAGGATAAGAAAAGCAGCCTTCGCGGTGGAAAAGCGCTAGAAAACAAGGGGGCGATGTGTTAGTATAAGGGCGCTGTCAAATAACAGTAGTTCTAACGGGCCCCTTCCCCCGAAACAGCTAGTATGCTGACGGTTGCCGTAGCTGCGCCTTTTGTTTGTGTTATCTCCTTCCCGATATGTTTCCCTCCTCGCCCCAGTTGCTCCCCATCGCTGCCCACGCTCCTCACTGGCCCCCCCTCTTGCCCCTCCCGCCCCGAGAGGAGGACGTTCCCTCCCGTCTTGCCCCTCGAGGTGGCTTCAGTCGCTGCGTTCCGTTCTCTGAGTGAATGAGGGCCAGCTGTACGGGCGCATGCTGGTGGATGCCCCCGTTTGATCCCATGGTCCCCCCTGTGTCTCTGGAAGCTATAGCCCACCCCCGTGCGCTCCTCCTCAGCTTCCCGCAACCGTTTTGGCGCAGTGATCCTCCGGCCTGGACGCAGTCGGGCTTGACCCAGTTCTTTTTTTCTGAGAACCTTTACGCCAGTTTTTTCGTGCGGCCACAATGGTGGCTGCCAGGTCAGCGTCTGGTGCTGCCTCGGCGCCCGCATCAGGATCCAAGACTATGTGCGTGACCGTCGAGCGGGCCCATCGCCAAGGCAGCGTCAGCACGATCACCGTGAAGTGCCAGACCAAGACACGCAACGAACTTGTCGACCAGGACATGGAAGCCGAGTTCGAGCAGCTGCATGGCATCATCTCGGCACTCGTGGCGGACCCAGGACACATCCAGGCGATCGCAGGCCAGGTCGCGAAGAGGCAGACGTTGAAAGCTACTACTGGGGGGAACGGTACCGACGGCATCTTCGAGGAGAAGGTCGCGTCAGTGCGCGCGCTACTTGAGACGTTCCTCATCCAGTGGATTGCTGATCATTCTGATATGACACAGAAGGGTTGCTCCAAAGTCTTGGGGAAGAACCCCGAGGGGCTCGTGATATTGTTCGGCCTGGCCACCCAGCTCCCGCCTTACATGCAGCTCGTGGGCATCATGCGCAACGGCGCGGTGGCAGAGAGAGTATTCAACAAAATATGCGAGGATTTTGTGAACCGCGTCGCCAGCTTCAAGGCATCTGGCCATCTTGCTGACGATGGCGGGCTCCGCTTGGGCAATACATGCTACGCCCTGGAGTTCGCCCAGGACGACGACGACATGAAGCCCGCCATCCTGAGCAACATTATCCATCTCGGCACTGGCCTGACGGTCGATGTGAAGCTAGAGACTGACATCACGACGCGTTAGGGCATGCGCAACAGCACGCTGGACCATTTCGCCGCTTTCGCTGTGGGGCCCCACTCGCACATCAAAACCAGCAAGTTTTTTACCGAGCCCCAGGGCCCCTTCAGCTTGAATGCGTACACGGCCGCCTCGCAGTGTTGGGAGACGCTGACCGAGATTGCTCACAAGGAGTGGGTCACGGCCATCGAGGCTTCGAGTGCGAAGGGGAAGGAGCTCGAGGAGTCAGCTCAGAAGGAGCTCACGAAGCAGGCCGAGGGGAAGAAGCGCAAGGCCAGCGATCAATTGCGCTCGAGGGCCGAGGGGCGCTTGAAGGCGCGCCGCGAGCGCGACGCTGTCAAGCTCGGCTAGGTCTGGAGTCGCGTTTTTTTCTGGGGGGCCATGCAGGCGCCAGGCCAGCTGCTAAAGCGAGTGGAGTCCTAGGGCGCGCGCGTCTGAGTGTTATCGCTCGTGCGACTCCACTGCTGTCTTTTGCCGCGCTGTGTTGCGTGCCAAACCCTTCTCCACTTCCGTGGCCGATCGTCATCGTGCCAGGGTCCAGTGCATCCCTCTCACCCGTCATCTCGCTGGCCAGCCAACCCAGTGCTTTAATTTCACGAGCGCTGTATTCAACGCATTGTGGCGCCCCACTGCGGGTAATCCGTCGCGCCGCTGAGGTACTCTGATCTCTGGCGCTCAACTTTCGGAGCGGCCTGGGACCCCAGCGTCGCCGTCATCGTCCGCTCTCCAGGTCCAGCAAACATGCGCTCAGGTCCAGCAAACAGAAACCCTACCAACAACAGCTTAGGCTTCGCGGGCTCAGGGGATGAAGTAATCAGGTTGCGCTGTATCCACTTGTTTACCAGTGGGATGACGTGCAAGGGGGGGCGGGCGTCGACTGGAAAGCCAGCGCGGCGACGCGGAGGCAATGTCCGACCTCCGACCTGTTCGTTCTAGGCGCTTTGTGACTTGAAAAAAACGTTCCCGTCTTCCAGCGCTTGTCTTCGCGCGTCTGGACTTCTTGGGGGGCCCGTGTCGTCGCCGCGGTTTGATTCGCCTCGCAGCGCTCGCCGGGGCGCGCGGGCAACGCCGAGACAATGCTCCCCCCCATCTGGGTGTCGCGGGGGCTGGGGAGGCGTGGGCGCGCAGTGCGAAGCGGATGTTTATCATCAGCAGTGGATCCTTGTTCCCATGTTCCTTCCGCCGTGCCCTCGCCCACTGTCTCGCAGCACTTTTGAGTCTCGTGTTGAACTAAGTCGTTTTCGCGCTCCAGTATCCCCGCCACTGCAGTTTCTTGAGTCGGGGCGCCTGCGATGGCAGATGGGGCACGCGGTGACGCGCCGACGAAGGTCCCGTCCAGACGCGAGCCCGTGTCCGGGAGAACCCCTCAGAAGCCCCGCGTTCACCTCGATGCTGTCCCGGGGGTCTACGTGCTCACGCATGTGCTGACGCAGGAGAGGCGGGTCATGACGCCTGGCTTCCAGCGGGGGATTGCTTGGAACGGTGATGGCTACGGCGCCGTCCTCGTGGGCACTCCCGAGGCTTGCGGCGACGACGTGGTGCTAGACTGGAGGTGTACCTGAACCCCGTCTCCCCGCAACGTGAGTATGATTGGCTGGCTGATCGAGGCTTGGACTATCTCTAGGCTCGGGCCACCTCTAGCTGGGGACCCAGGTTGTGCCTGGCTTACTTTGCTGGCCTAGCGTTTGCCCGTGGTCGCCTCGATGCCCTGGGGCGCCGTTTAACTGGCAACCCTTCCCGTTCCTCCCTCTCTTCCGCCCGCGTGCCAGGACTTTGACCAGCGCCTCAGCAAGTGCGCGACCGTGCAGGGCGGTGCGTTCGCGACGATGATCACCGATTCGAAGGCTATGAGGTCCGTGCCGTATGATGAGGAGCGCGTGCAGCATCGGATGGCATATTTGACGTTGAATTTGCTCGGTGCTTCTGCCGCTGTGAGCTTGCGGGCGTTCGTCTTCAGGATGCCTCGCAGGGCGAGCCAGCGCGTCTATTAGAGCCTCATATCTTTGTATGGTGCCGTGGGTCTCACGTGCTACAAGGGCTTGGCCTCTCGCTCGGTTGAGGCCCTGGCGCCTCGGTGGGTGACGACGTTGGACGCTTGCCATGGCCTCGGGGACGACGCCGTCGTCTTCTCCAACCACGCGGCTGCCAATGTATCCAAGCGGGGGGGCAAGGCGAACCTGCCGTGGTCATGCCGTTGCCTCAACTCATCCTCGACGCCGACGGTCGGAGTGCTGCTCATGTGCTGTCGGTGGACTTGTCTGTCTCGCGAGCGGGGCGGGGTTCCCAGACGGCTCCCTTCACCGCTCCAACGCGACCCAGCTGTTGGGGGCAATGTTGAATCCGTTGGCAGATGAGGCAGAGTGGTCATTCCCAGTTGTAGTGACCGAGGAGTTTCAGCAGCTGTGGCCAAAACCCGCACTGGTTGAGCGCCCCCCCCCCCCCCCACGTGATGATCCACGCAGTCGGCGACGTGCTCAACATCCAGCCGCTGTTCGGCCTTGGCAGCGGCGCTAGCGTGCTCTCCACGGTCCACGCTTGGAATGAGCCTTGATGTCGGCGGGCGCGGGGCCTCATATCAAGTTGGTCGACTTGCTGCGCATCGCCGTTAAGAATGACGTCTTGTCCCCTCTGCTGTCGCAGGTCCTCGTGGGCGCCTCCGCGCAGGCGGGGCGCGTCTTCGGCGGGCAGGCGCAGAACGGCGCTACCATCATCAAGAGGGCTGCCTCCAGCTTCGAGTGGGTTGACCTGGTCGACTGCGATTGCCCCGACATGGTGGGCAAGTTCGTTGCGCAGTACGTCAGCTGCGCGCGCCCGAAGTTCGCGGGCGCCCAGCGCCTGCCCCTCCAGGCCGACGCAGGTTGGTGCAACGAGCTGCCCTTCCTGAACAGTTTCATCGGCATGCCGAACAATGTCGTGACCATGGGCCCTCCCCAGGTGATCTTCCAAACCCTCGGGTTTGTTTCGCCGATGGCGCCCAGGTGTGGCGCGATTGGCACGCGCCCGAAGGCTTGGCGTGGGCGGGGTGTTGGGGGGGCGGGGGTAGCTGCAGCCGGTCCTGGCGAAGCAGGTGGCCCCTGACCCCCTCGTGGGTTTGTTTGCGCCGTCCGCTCGCGAGCTGGTGGCCCAGTCGCTTCTCCCGCCTTTCCGACCCTCGCCCATCGGAGCGCCTCTGGCGCTGGGTGCCTGTCAAACGCCCGCCAAAACTCAGCCAGGGAGGCGGTGGG